CATCACATTTGTGCACTCCCACCCACCCCACTGACCCCAGTGCAATTCTTGGAAGCTAGTAACTCTCCCAAAGGTCATGTCTCTTGAATGAGATTACTCCTTTTCCTGTTGAAACAAACTATAAACTCTCCCTCTCCAAACCTAAAAGAAACAAAACAAAATCTGATGTGAATTCTTTGCTGACAATCCAGCAAAGAAATGTAGAACTTAACTGCATTTGTATTTAAATGAGGTGCTATGTGATTTAATGGACACTTCTCACTTTCCTAGTAACAGAACAGTACTCAAAGATCAGTAATAAAAATGTCTTCAGGTCCTATAAATATTTTTAAAAGGAATAAAAGCAAAATAATAATAAGCCACAAAAGAATAATTTAGGAGACTCCCTTGCATACTTCTCCCTTGATTGCTTGTTACTGAGTCTTGTAGGAACAATTGAGCATGCTAGTATTGCAGTCTCTGGCTATTTTTGTTGGAGGTGATAATTGTTGGGATAAAAAAAATTATGCAATGTAGGTGTGGTTTTTTTTTAATTTCAGAATCTGGATTTTTATGCTTGAAACCTCAAGATCTCTTTGTCGTCTTTTATTTACAAATATCTAAGAAGCAGTGGTAAATTTATATTCGATCTGACTTGGGATGTATAGCTAAATTCTGTGAAAGTTTCTACTGATTCTAAGACTGTTTTTTCTTGGTTGCTTTTTAAGGTCAGGTCCTTCTGACAATCAAATTTGTGGCAGAAAGGTCAGAAGCATAAGTTAAGAGAGCCATTGTTAACAAAATAAATGTTACTCTTGTCATTATGTGCTGAAGTCTGCATATGGCATATGGAGGCTTCATTTTTAGTGATGTATAATGAAGTGAGGAAGAGATTTTTACTGTACCTGCCCTGCTTTGAGATTTTCTTAATGACTATTTGTTTTTAAACTCTTTCTCAGGATATGGAAGCAAAATTACTGAATGCCAGTAAATGCACCCATGTGTCAGAACTGTGGATTTTATTCATACTTAAAGACTTGCATCAAGAGGGCTTTGTTTCATGTTATGTCTTTTTTTTTTTTTCTTTCTCTGGCAGTGTTTTAAAAAGTTATGTGCATGCATAATCATATGCAGCACTTTATTGCTGATTTTTGGCAGTGCACAAGAGCAAAAATTTAATTTGCTATTTTCCAAAAGTGCATTGTGTTTATGTAATGGATTTGCATCAGTTGCAGTCTCTAACACAGTTAAGTGTTTTAATTGGCAGAACACCCACATCAAGACTTATTTGTTTTTCTGATAAGGAAAATGCCAGCTAAGTTGGTCCATATGTTCTGTTCAAATAAGAAGTGACATATTCACATGCAATAGCCATTCTTTAAAAATAAAATTTAAATTTAAAAAGTAACACAAAATTCATGTAGAAGGGGGACATGTTTATGCATAATCATGAATTACTGTTATTTTTCAAAAATAGCAAATATTTTTGTGGACAGAATTAATGAGCCTGCATTTTAAATGCTTGTAGTTTATGATTGTATCTGTTGACGACCCTAGTGACATATGTTGAAATGAAACTGTACATTGTTTACTGTTTTGGTGTTGTTTTTTTCTCAGAAGGATATACATGGTATTTGTTTTCTAGTGAGTAACTTTTCTTTCAGAAGACTCGAACCTTACCTTACCAAATGTGTTGTAGTTTAGTAATAATTTAAAAAATATGTTGAATGGTGCAGTAAAATAGAAATTAGAAAAGAAGTTGAAGCACTCCTTTTAATGAAATACATCCTGTTCAGCTGCCAGTCATGGAGGAGCTTGACAGGCTTCTAGGGCTTCACAGCTGCAGAATCTATTTCTGTTTCTTTAGGGGAAATTGCAAAACTTCCACATTCTGCCAGTCTGAGAATCCCAGATTAGGCAACCACTCTGGACTTTCTGCAGAAAGGGGACCCATATGTTGCCCAGTGGCCAGAGATGGCATTTGAACTCCTGTTGGTAGGATAAGGGGACCCCACTTGGGCTCTTATTTCAACAAAGTATTGAAGCTGATATCAGTTCCTTGTGTTTGTAAGTAATATCTAGAAATTATTCAAAACTGTGTTCTGGCCTGGACCTGCTACTGGACCAAGTATTCCTAATTTCTTGTAGTGCTGATTTTTTTTTTTCCTTTTTTTTTTTTTTTTTTTTCTTCTTTTTCCCATGAGGAAATTCTTCATTCTTTTTGACTTGTCATTTACAACTATCTTCTAGAATAGAGCAAAACGAACTTTTAAGGACATAACTCATGCGGTACATGGTTATAAATAACAACATTTTAAAATTGAAATTTATGTCCACTTACATTGACAGTGAAAACCATCATATTATTGAGGAATGTCAGGAACATTATATATTCATGATGACAAACATTCTTGTAGCTCAATATGGGACATTAGAAGCTGGATAAGAACCACATGTTGATCTGTTTCCCTTTAAATATGTGCCAATTTATGTTTGTAATGAAATGACCAAAAAGACCATGACATTCAGTAATATGCAAAATCAAACTACTGTAACTTGTTTCCAGCTGATGAATGTGAACAATTTTCGTTCTACTGGGTGTTATATTCATTGAAATAATAGATGTAAAGTGAAATGTTATTAGGTTAATCTCATTTTTAATTCAAAACCTCTGATAATTAAAGAAAAAAAAAAAAGAAGTCTGACAACCACATTTGCCAATACATTTAGAATTTACAGAATTAATTGTGAATAATTTGCAATCTGTAAAAATGCACATTGTTTTACTAACCATGTAACAACAGTGAGATCCCAGAATGGTTACATTAAGAAGGAAGGGGGAGAACTGTGCAACTGGAAGCTTGGTTTCATAAATATTTCATAACATTTGTTAACATATTAGTTGAATGTAAATCCCACCTGTAAACACTTGCTTTTTGTTTAACTATTGGCAGTAGGTTAGTGTAAATTAGAGCTGGCAGTATGTATTATTGTGATTAGGTTAATTGTTATGTCCCGTTTCACATATAATGGTGCACGTTCCTTTCTGACATTCTTTAGGAATATCCGTGAAGTTTTCAAAATCTTTTCTGTTGTTGCACTTGGGGATTTTTACTTTCCTAGTGGTAGCATGTTTGTCTTCAGGATTAGTCTAGAGCAAATTTTAGTTGGTTTTAAAACTTATTACAATTTCATATCAGTCTAGATTTAGTGCTAGCATTGTTCTGCACTGTAGACACCAGCCTGGTGTTATTTTCTGAGTCATTTTTGAAACACAGGGACATCTATGAGCTTCTGAAGAATTTTTTATTATATCATTGCTTGTGTATTTAGAATGATGATACTGTGATCTGGTGCAGAGTATTAAATGAAGTAACAGATTGTATTTTACATTCTTGAGTCAATCTCCAATTTTTATTGGCACTTACATATTTCATTGTTTATTTTATTAAGTAAAATCTGTTTCTTTTACGTCCTGTGCAGAATGTAAAAGATGATGGGCAGCACGTATGGAGACTGAAGCACTTTAACAAGCCTGCTTACTGTAATCTTTGTTTGAACATGCTAATCGGAGTAGGCAAGCAGGGCCTCTGCTGTTCTTGTGAGTATAAGCATTTCAGTGTCCATTTGTGTTTATAGCTGTTCCTAGAAGTATTGCAGTTTCTGCATAACAAAGAACTGCTGGCTTCCCAGTACAAACCCATTGCCAGCACAGTGATGCTTTCTCCTTTGTTTCCTGTGCTTAAGTGCTACAGATCATATTGTTAATTTTTTAGAATATGAGGCTTTAAAAACTGCTGTTTTCTCGACTTTAATAACTGTCAGTGTTTTAGGACATTCCAGTTGGATTCTGTCTGCATTATTTTTTATTTATTTTTTCTTAGCAAGTATTATGCTTAAACACAACCTTATATTTTATTGTTCCTCTTATGTATTTGTGAGTAATTATTCATATTCATTAATAGGCATACTGTCTCTTATTAGAAAGGTACTTTAGTGAGTGTACTTAGATACTTGCATAGTATCTAATCCCAATAGTTATTTATGCAAATGCTTCATGCAATTCTTGTTTTGTTAATTGTAAAGGTCAAAATCTCAGTTTCCTCACAACTTGTTTTCAAGATTTTATAACTACCACTTCTAAAGTTTTGCATGTTTACTTGGTTTGCCATTTTCACCAGTCATTTACATATTAATTAATTATAGATTTTGATACAAAAAAAAGGAAGAATAAATACTGTATCTTATCTGACTTTCTTTAGACAATTGCATATGATTACTACAATTCAATTCCTTGAGCTGTATTCTGTGTATCTCATAATAATCTGTTCACCAACTCATATGCTGTATTTTGATACCAGAGATCTTGCCAAAAGATCCCTCTTCTCTGCTTGAATATTTCAAGAGATGGATGATCCATAACTTTTTTTTTTTTTTTTTTTTTTTTGTTTGTTAATCTTTATTTATTTATTTATTAAACAAGGACCTAATATCTGATTTGAATATGTCTGGTAAATGGATCCAATTAATCTGTTTGTGTAATGCCCTTCTGCATTAGATTAATGAATACCTAACATATTGTCTTCATGACAGCAACCTTTCTTCAAGCCACTTTTCATTATTAATTTTGATAAATTAATCAGTTTCTTAGTTTGATATAAAAACCCATCACAGCTGATCAAGACCTTTCTAACTGTACAGTTCTATTAATCCAATTTGAAGTTGGACTTAATGATGGTTTTGGAATTGGCCATTTTTCTCTCCTCTGTGAACCCCATAACTCTTTAAAACACAATTCAGATATAAATCCCTATGTATTGGTTTTCACATTGTATAATTCCATTTGCAATACTATGGAATGAGAGATACATGTTAATAAAGGTAATAAAAACAATTTGAATAAATAGAAAGTTCAGATTAAGAAATGCTGATGACAGTAAGTGGAGCATATATTAAACGCTGAATTGGTTGTTAGATCTTGAGATGCTACGTTCTTTAAATATCCTTTCAGGACAAACTGATGTAAACTTTATCCTTGTGAGGTAACAGCACATGCATGTTTGAAAGAGAAAGTTCTATTCAGCAAACAGTGTAGATCTCTGTCGGTAGTTACTAGAAATGCGTAGATGAGTTATAAAAAATAAACCTCCTCAGAACGACCAGCTTTATCAGAGCTTTCTCTGCTTCAGTATACCTCTTCTAAATTTATTTGTTGTTTTAATTGGCATTTATTTGGGCAGTAGAATGGTCCCAGAGAAGCTGAACAACTTCCACTTTCTCCTTTCATTACTTCATGAAGGATGGGTCATGAGTCTACTTAGAAAACTACTATTCTTTTTCTTTATCTCACTTAGCTTCTCCTGTGTATTTTCAAAGCATTGCTATAGATTTCATTATTTGCATTTTAGATTGTGTGGGAGGAAAAAAAAAAAAGAAGAAACTGCAGGGGGCTTCACCATCCCTCCATGGTCCAATCAACAATGTTACTCCCTGCAGTTTGTCTGATTAATAGCTGCGTCTCCCACTGGGTTTGTGTAATAGGTGCAAGCAAGGTGTTTAGAAGTACTTTGTGCTTAATTGCTGTCGAGGTCAAAAGCATGAGACATATACCATGCAGTGAGAAATTCATTCTCAGTTTTTAATAGTTGACTCTACTGAATGCAGGTATTAGCTGAGCATTACAGCTAGGCACAGTGCTGTAGTTGAAGTCAGGTCTTACCACTGAACCCTGACACATGCTTTCCAAATGCAGCTAGGGTGATCTTTAAAGACCTAATCAGCAACAATAGTTACCTACTGCAGATTTGTGTAGGGTGTGCATGGGGAAGATGTTTAGAATATAAAGCTTCGCTGGACACAGCATTTGGGAAAGAAAGAGTTAAATTGGAGTGATTATGTAGAATGCAAGAAAACAATTGCTATCTGAAAATGGACTAATCAACCCTGTAAGATTTATAAATCAGTAGAAGGAGCAACATAAACTTGTTGGCTTTTATTTTTGTGCTTGCCAGCTGCTCTCATGCCTATAGTTCATAAAATATAGATTTCTTTCTACTAGCAGATGACACCAAGCCATTTGGCAGACTTTGTCTTTAATATTTTTGTCATTTGGCAATTATTGTCAAAAAAATGTAGTGAGCTCTGATTTAATTAAGCATTTCCTGTTATGCAATGATAGTGCATTCTTGGATTTTTCACATGTATAATATTTCCTGTTCTAATTGGCCTTTTGTATTCCATGGAAAAAGCAGTCTCGTTTGAGTTTTCATTGACTGATTGGGTGGATTGTAAAGAGCATGCTGGTAGAGTTGTTACATAAAGATGTAGTCAGGAACATCATAGCTTTACAATCTATTAATGCATTTCTTTTTTCAGTTTGCAAGTATACAGTCCATGAACGCTGTGTCTCAAGAGCTCCTGCGTCTTGCATCAAAACATATGTGAAGTCCAAAAAGAATACTGATGTAAGTCAGGGGCAATGTTACATTTACCGTCTACCCATTAGTTTATTAACCTAATATGTACTACACTTTTCTTTTGCAGGTAATGCACCATTTCTGGGTGGAAGGAAATTGTCCAACAAAATGTGATAAATGTCATAAAACCATAAAATGTTACCAAGGTTTGACTGGACTTCACTGTGTTTGGTGTCAGATCACAGTGAGTACTTGCTCTATACTAAGACCTTTAGCACATTTTGGTGACAGTGATATCTGCATTTTTTTTGTAGCCATGTAATTCAAAAAGTCTCATTTAGTTGTTTTTTTTTTTGTAAGGAACAGATAATGTGTATTTGAGAAATATTTGAATATTAAGATATATGCAGAATATCCATAGGAATACGTAAATATTGTAACCAAATAAATGCATCCTCTGCTTCGAGGCAATACACAAATAACGTACATCATTCTAAAGTAACGTAATTCCCAATATATATTACAGAGTCTTTGTGAAAGAGTTTTTATTACTGGTAAAAGTCAAGGTCGTGGTGAACTTAGAGCAAAATCCTAATTTGTGGTGTACTGTCAGGCAAGTGAAATTGAGGACATCTGGTAGGATATAGCGATTTCAAGTGTAGCAGAGGCATCTTGATAATAAACTAATCTGTGCACCAAGCCTAATACATAACAACTTCTGTGCACTCCTTATTCAGCAGGAACCAATAACCGGAACTAATGACATTCAAGGAACACTGCCCTTATAAGTGAGATCTTCATGCTAGACAGAACAATGCTAGTATTTCTGTTTCTAGCTAGTGTAGGATTTAAATCTATGTGGGGATTATTCTAGGGCTTCTGCTTTTTTCTTTCTTTTTTTTTTTTTTTTTGTCTGATGTTGTTGTTATGGAACAGCAGTTGTTTGTTCAATGTTGTAAATAATAATGTGAGACTAAGGCATTTGTGAGTGTTTGTTTTCAACATACAAGTTTGGATGTTTTGTGACATATTTTCTTAACACAGGAATGCAAAACATGAAACATCATCAAAGTAAATGGATCCAGGATACTTTCAGATATAAGCTGTTATGATCACGTAGAAATAAATATTTTAGAAGAAGGCAAATATGTAGTCCAGATTGTTGTCAGAATGTGGATAATTTATTTAGACACAATCCAAAATTTTGAAATGCAGATAATTACATTTAGGCTATGGCCATCTCTCTTTAGGTAGATAATTGAATAGTGTTCTGCTCTAGATTTGACATGTGATTGCATCCTTATAATATGGCTTAATAAGAAATAGTATATAAGGTTCCCTCTTGAAGTCAAAGGAAGATTTAAATACTGCAGGTCCTTCTATTTATGTATCCAAATGTGAGTCTGGACCAAATTTGTAAAGGTATTTTTACATCTTAAAGGTATACATCTACATTTAGAGGACTTTCACAAGCAGTAAGAAACTCTGAGGAGATAACAAGACAGAATTTCACACCGAAGTTACTGTGTATAAGAAGCTTACTTCTTTTGAAAGTATCTTTGGTATCAATCTACTTAGTTAAATAATTAGGTGCCTGTCCAAACTCTTAATAAGAACAAATATATGTTTTTTGACATTCAGAATGAAAAATACTGGTTTATAATTCTGCGGTTATATTTTTATCTGTATTTTAAATATTTTTTATTTTCTGATTAATATTATGTCTTCAGAATAACTTTACTAATATCTTCATTTAATTTTTCTGACTTACGTGAAAAACTGGTATTTTTTAAACTTGAAGCACTGTAATTTAGATCTTATTTTCAGTCTCCCATTCAATTTTCTTATAGTTCTGCATAAGAAATTTTTTTGTGTGGTGGTTTTTTTGTTGTTTGTTGTTTTTACTTATTTTTGCTAATAGTACTAACTTTCTTAATTAGTAAGAAAACAATTATTTAGGTTTATATTGGAGACTCGTATATACTCTGAAGGTCTTTTGTTCAGGGGATGGACAGCACAGTTAGGGGCAGAGAGATCCCTTTGTGCATCTGACATTGTAAGTAAAGAATGCCTTCTTACTAATACCATATTGGAGTTAATAAGTTTATTCTTGAATTTTGGATGACAAATGGAGGTGTGATTTTTAAATTGATATCTTGGAGTTATCATCACATCATTCATTCATTCATTTTACCTCTTGCACAGAAATGCTGTTGCTGTTGTGTGCAGTGCAAGAGGCTGTTAGTTATTATGGAACTAATTCTGAGCCTCTTTTAGATATTCTCCTTTTTGCAATTAACAAGATCACTTTAAAGTGAAATCACTGATTGAAATCCCCAAATTTAGAGATGTTTGGTACTAAAGGTTGTACTGAGTATAACGTTATACTGAGTTTTTATCCAAGCTACTCATGTATTTCTCATCCACCATGATCTTGTAAATGTCTCTTTCCTCAAGCTTTCCCCACAGCAAATACTTTTTTTTTTTTTTTTTTTCTACTTTGCAGACATTTGGTTGTGATAATATGATAATATTCTGAATGAGCTAGGCTTTAGGGAAAGGAATTTGGGGGAAATATCATTTTTTGAGAAGAGGTGCATCTTTTATTTTATTGTGTCAAAATGCTATTTTCATTAAAGCTACATATCTTTTACCAGTTCTGTTGTCAGTGATCAGCAGAGACTAATAAGAAGATTAAGCTATTTTTTCATATATAAGTTTGCATGCCACTGAGTAACAGAGCTGCTAATTAGCCCTGAATGTGCAAAGATACTTTTATTTGATGTAGTGTGGCCTAGTGTGCATTAATTATCGTACAAATAGCCATACCACTGAATTAGAGAATTAGCATGACAAATGATTTAGATTACAGGGTTACCAAAATACCCTCACAATAAGGTTTTAATACTCAGAGTAAATCGAAACTCGTTAGACTTTTATTTTGTGTTGCTAAGTAACTGCCTGAAAAGGTAACTTTGCAGTTTAAATGAATATGGACAAGGCTAATGTTAGGTACCATTTAGTTCAACATACAGAAATGTTATGTCAACATTAACTATACCAGATAACTTTATGAAGAATATATTACTGGTAAAGCTTATACATCAACAGCTGAGATAGTTTTATTATAATTTTCATAGAGTACAACTGACATAGTTATATCATCTAAGGGAAAAATGAGTCAGTTGTTTGAAAAAGTGTGATTTATAGTTGCAGCTATTGAACTACAGATTTGTTAGCAGCTATTCAACCCTTTGAATTAATACTGCGTGCTACCCATTAAACCAGTTCGATCACCTGATAAATCAGAATTCTACTTCAAAATTTATGGGTTTTATTACATTTTGATGCAAATATACATATCTTCTCAAAAATAAAATATTCATACTTACTGTATAAGCATTTTAATGAACAGTTTATTCAGTGCAAAACTAGTAAACTTTCATCAGATCTCACAGTATAAATTTGTAGTATGCTATTGTGGCTGTCTCTAATAATACTGTGAAGTGTACTAGTATGTGTGGATTCTTTGCAAGATCCAGGTTTACAACTGAGACTTTGTACTCTGAGGTTGGATATATATGTTGAAATATTCTATTTAGACAAGTTTGATTTGAATTAAATCCTAACTAATTGGTAACAAGTTTTGATTGATAATGCAAAATATTTAAATATGTAGTTATTAATTTCTTGGCATTTTCTTTTGAAGTTATATACACATTATTCCTTCCCATCTTTTTGTCAATATAGAAATAAATTAATGCTCTTTCAGTCAGAAGACTTCTTTCTGTACTCTCATCATAGAATACTTCTCATTGCTTTCATGAAAGCTGGCTGAATACTGGGAGTGAAGTAAAAAAAAAGAGGGTAATTCAAATTCCTCAGTAGTCAACAGAATGGTTTTTCCAAGATAGCCTAGAGCTCTTAGATATTCTTATCTGATTTTTTCAAAGATATTTTAGCATCACAATTGAATCAGTGGTGAGTTTATAAGCTTCAGGTGGGAAAGAGAGTTATACTAATAATGCCAAAGGCTGCCCCAAATTAATCTGAATTGCCCCCTAGCAGTAACAGAAGTCTTTCTCAGTGTAAGATGTTGAAATGAAAGTTTAGTACAGTTTACTGTCTTGCAAAATTCTCATTTTGTGTGCTGGACCATATGTGCAGTTTCTAAACTGCGAAGTATTTTGATTCACCATTCTTTGCTTCAGTATAAATTCACTGCTTTTGTCAATCCTAAGAGGCTTTCTCCTTCAGTGTTTCATTTTCCTTGTAGTACTCTAGGAATAATGAGATTAATTTAGCATATCTAAACTCAATTCTAGAATGCGCAGACTATAGTAGTGAAATACCAAAGCTGAATATTTATTTTGTCTTCTTGTAGTTACATAATAAATGTGCTTCACATCTAAAGCCTGAATGTGACTGTGGACTTTTGAAGGACCATATTTTACCACCCACATCAATCTGCCCAGTAGTATTGGTGAGTTGCCTGTATTTTTATTCTAGATGTAATATTCTGTCTTAGTTAACAGCTGAAATGATGTCGGAACTAACTTACAGAGGATTTGTTAAATTCACAGGACTGCGTGAACCTTAAACCTAGTGGGTAATTCTGACTAATTAATTATAGGTGCAGTTGTGCTTGATCCTCTGTGTATTGCATTTTCCTTAGTGTGAGAATGAACTTTCTGTAGGGCATATTATAACTGAAGCTGACTCAGGTTTTATCACTTACTCAGACTGTACTTACCAGAAACTGTATAGGCAGAACACTTCTACATTTTACATCTTTTATAGATCCAACTTCCCAGAATAATGAAGTTATTCTTATGGACAGTTTTTGCTTGGGATGCATATTGTATATCTGCAATGCTGAGGTCTCTGATCTAAGCCGGAGGTTACCTAGAATGATGACACTGGCCTTGCAGTAAGCTATGCATCAACATTATGGTATATTTTATTCTGCAGTAGTGGACAGTAAATTTCTCTGTCCACAAAAACAATAACTCAATTCAGTGAAAATAAAAGTGCATGCTGTATATGTAGGTGGTACTGAAAAGACCTGAGCAGCTTATGATGAAAAAAAGAGGTCTTCAGACTTAACTTATGTTTTCATTAAATTGGATGTTTTGTGCTGATGAAAGTCATAGTATCATCATATAACAGAACAAGCATGTGATTTTCTTACTTTAAATATATTTCAAGAGTAACAGTAATACATTTCTAGATTTAAAGAATGATTTTTGGCAGTGAAAGAAAGTACAAAAATTTGCCTGCTAATCTTAAACCTGTTTCTGATTAGTAGTAATATATATGTTTATTTTTTTAATAATCCTTTCACTGTTTACTTGTCAGCCTGATAAGGAAGGAATCTTAGAGTTTGTTCCTCAGCATGAGTAAACTGGTAGTGTCCTATAGCTGTTAATGAAGGTAAAAAAGCAGAAAGCTGGTTTGGTATTTATGAAATGTTTTTACGTATTTAAGAAAAGTCAGAAGAGTAGTTTTACTGTTCATCTGTAATGATGTTTTGATATTATCTGGGCATGTTCTGAATAGTAATTTCAAAAATATTATTTTAAGTTTATCAGATGATTGCATTTTCCATTACTTTATTTAATTTTCAGGTTTTTAGGTCATATTAAAATGTGGAAATTCTGGTTTTGTTATTGGACAGGTTTTGTTTTATTGTTATTTATTGTTTGCCATTTTTATAAACTGAATAAAGCCTCTGCATGAAATTTCATCTTCGATTACATGTATTTGTGTAACTCCATTTTCTTTTCAGAGGAGGAAGAGATGTAGCAGAATTAAGATTTTTATTCCATAATTTGAGTTTAGTTAAGTTGTTTAGAGGACAGATAAAACCACTCTAGAGTCATCCTTGAATAGGTTTGTTTTATCTGCAAATTTGGAAGATGTAAGCAGAAATAAATGTTTTCCTGTATCAGAATCGTGTTTCAGTATTGCATACTAATGATGTAACATGAAACAAGTATTTCAGCACTATGTTTATACATTTTTTAGAATAGAAAATATTGGAGTGATGGGAGCTTTATAGTTTTGCAGTATATTTGTTGCTCTGTTTTCTTTCAAAAACGTATTAAAATCCTGAGTACATTACAAATAGTATATCAGTGACCTATCTACTAGGAATTCCTCTTAAAAATGTTTGATTACAGTGTACATATTATTTATCTCAGTAATTTTTTAATTAGTTTCTCCCATTTCCTGCCAAGGGGATTCCTTTTGAGAAATATAGGGCGTCAGTGAATGTGAAACCAGCACTTTTACTGACAGCAAAAACAGTGAACGTACAGACACTGAAATTCTCTGAAGATGTAATAGTAAGTGTGTCTGTTAATAGAAATGGTGTGTTAAGAAATTGCAAATCATGAATCTGACAGGCTTTCATCCAGGACTCAAGATAGCTTCAGCGATCACCTAACCAATAATGTACCTTACAAAGCTACTTACATGTGGAAAGCAAGAAAAAGCAGGCTGCCATTTTTATCACATGCTACAGGGTCTTTTGTGCCATCTTTGCCCTCAGTTACTTGGAGGTATCAGGGAACTTTTCAGGTACCTTTTTCTCACTGTTGTGCTTTCCGCCAGGCAGACAGCTAAGCCTCATACAGGCAGTCACTCATTTGCTTGCTCCACCAGTCGGGGAGGGTCAGAAGAATGCAAGTGAGAAAACTCATGGATTGGAATAAGGACAATTTAATAGGTAAAGTGAAAGCTGCATGTGCAAATAAAGCAAAACAAGGAATTCATGCAATACTTGCCATAGGCAGACTGATACCTATTTCCAGAAAGGCAGAGTTCATCACATGTAAGTATTACTTAGGAAGACAAGCACTGTAGCCCTGCACATCCCATATTCTTCTTTCCTCTAGGTTTTGTTGCTAAGCATAGCATCACGTAAAATATCACAAAAGCACATAATACTTTGAGCTGTACGGTCATCTAGATATATGCCTTAGGTTAACTGCGTCAGCTTTCTCAGCTATGTCCTCTCCCATATTTGTGTCCCGCTCATCCTACTATTACAGACAAGAAAGTGTGACTAACAGCAAAGGCCTTGATCCCGTACTGTTCAGAAACAGCTAACACATTGATGTTTCAATGATGTTTTTGTAACAAATCCAAGACACAACACCATGCAAGCTACTACGAAGAAATTAACTCTATCCCAGTCAAAATGAGTTCACTCGCCTATAAGAAGTTAAGGTAGTTGTGGGAAAGACAATATGGCAAGTTGAAAAATAGTTTACATTTGATCTCTCAAAAGCTTTGGCTTCTTTTCCATCCATCCTTTGGAATTCCAGACTTCTTCCAGAAAACCATCAAAGTTCGAAACTCTGACAAGGATACCTTCTTAAAGATGTTCCCTCAACAGTACAGGAAAAATCCCTTCTTGTTTCTCATATGGAAATAAGGACGTTCATGTTTATGTGTATTTCTCATCCTTTACATGTAATTTTTTCAGTTCTTGTCCAACCTAGATTCTGTCTGCAAAAATAAAGAGAATTTTTTCATAAATCATACTTCATAGCAACGTATATTGTACCAGAGTTACCAAACCAACAGGATTGGCCTCTCCACTGCAACTTGGTGTCCAGGGCCACATTTTTTTTCCGTTTCCATTGATGTCAAAAGCCACTGTAGCAACTTTGAAGAATAAGCTAAAAACCCTGTTCTTCCTGATGTTAGTATCACAGAGGGTGACATTTCTTTTTCTTCTTTTCAGACTAGAAATTGTGAAGAAACCATGGGGAAACTCATGCAGTAGTTATTGTGTATTGTGTTGTGAAATAATCATGCATCTGTCTAGATTCAGTTCCACATAAAGATTTTTCGTATCTCACTGCAGTACTTTTAGACATTTTAGTGGATGCAGTCCATTAGTCCTTTTTACCTTTTGTTTACTGTATATAAGGATTATACAGTGAAGTTTTTTTCTTGAGTTAAATGAGTTCTGTTATAAACTGTGTGTAGAGATCTCAAGTGATAGTCTTTTAATAGATGTCAGATACGCTTTAAAGCTACTCTCTTTTATTTCAGTAACATTTAAATTAATTCATACTGATTGAATAAATGTACATTGAGACTTGTTTCCTAATGAGGGCACATTTAGAGGAAAGGTTTTGCATCATTCTGATATCCTGTGGGTAATTATATTCTAATTATATGGTGGGGGGAAAAAGTCTATAACTCAGTACTGATCTTGTTCATTGGACCCAATTAATTACATGCACATAATGAAAGTTCATGATAAGGTTGACTGTCAGTGAGTTTAAAAATCTTTAACTCAATTGAATCCTAGCCTACCAAGAGTACAGAATGAGATCATAACCAGGTTAAAAACTGAGTACTGGAATGAGATGAGTGACTAGAGAAGAAAAAATTGGTCTTTCTCTCTGATATCACTCCTCTCCCCCAGTCCACCTCTTTTAAAACACGGAAGGGGAAAACTGCCATACCTTTTGACTTCTTCATTTCATACTTTTCTTTACTCCATTTATTGATGAAATATAGGATATTCTATTTTTTAACTATGTATATAGAGAAACAATTAGAATTTTCTATTTCCAACCAAAATAGTAATAATTTTGTCTAATGACAGTTCATATAATAAATGCCTATGAAGCGTATATATATATCATTAAGTATGATTATTTTGATTCCATTATCATTTACGTGAGTTTTAAAATGAATTTTTTAAATTTAATTTCTGTCATTGATTTTGTAAACCACAAATAAAACTATTAATTTTGGAGAGAAAAAAAAAAAGATAATCGTGGAATAAATTGTAAGACATAAGGTGCCTCAAAAGCAGTGTGAGCATTACTATATGCGAGTTACCACTATCTCCATAGTAACCAGTTATTTCAAAGGGGGAGATTCTGGTGAAATATAGAAGGCAAGAAGTGAACAAAATAAAATTTTAAATTGGATAAATTTACTTCTGTTTGATTTTCAACTTCATTTTCCAGCATTCTGGGATGGTGAGAAGTTTGAAACTGTTTTATAAATGAATTTGTTTTTTTTCTTTTGCCTGGTGGCAATATTTAAAATATTTTAGGACAAAATCATAAGGGTTATTTTTTTATATAAAATCACTGTATACGGCATCTACACATATAATATAAAATAGAAATATAAAATATAATCATAAGTAGAGTTCACTTGACCTCTTAAAATATATTTAGCTGTATATTTTCATATTTTCATAATTTAACCCAAATTTATCTGATTTGGGTTAGGGTTTTGCTTTTTGTTGTTCAAGAACATAAATAACCATGTTCAAAACAATCTTCTGTTTATAATTAGTCCTATTTAGACACATAATGACATAGCAAATGACGTGTTTTAGCCAAGTGCTGTGCCTTGTGAAACTAAACAATATACATTATGATCTATAGCTTCACACTTCTGTGATTTTTATGTAAATATAGGAAGTGTGTTGTGCTGAAAAAA